ACCAAGTCATCATCAACCGACTCCGAATAGGACATACTTTCCTTACCCACAAGCATATCTTCAACCAGGAGGCTGCTCCGATATGTACCAAGTGCAACACTCAGTTGTCAGTGAAACATATAATTGTTGAGTGTACCAGAACGAAAGAATCGCGTGTGCCCTTCGTGACAATTTAAAAAGTGTACTAACGTCAAATTTACAGTCTTTATTAAGTTATCTTAAAATTACTAAACTATATACCAGATTGTGGTATATTGTACATCATCCATCATCCTTTGGATCAACTGCGCACTATCTGCCAGCAATACTGTATCGTCTGCATATCTAATGTTGTTTATAGGTTGGCCATTTACAGCAATCTTCTGATTCTTCCAAGGCCTCTCTAAAGATGTTTTTAGAGTATATGTTAAATAATGCCGGTGAAAATATGCAACCCTGTCTAACTCCCTTTTTGACTGTGAAGATCTCGGGCAGTTTATTTTCTAATAGTACTGTTGCTTTTTGTTTGAGATTTAAGTTTGAGATTAGTCTTATATCCTTACCATCGAGTCCTGTTTTTTTTAGGATATCGATTAGTTTCCCATGTGGGACTTTATCAAATACCTTCTCTAAATCAATGAAATATGCATACACATCGTAGTTGACATCCCTGGCTCTCTGTATTAGAACTTACAAACTAAAAAAGTGCTTTCCTTGTACATCGATCCGCTCTGAATCCAAATTGAACTTCACTCATGTGTTCTTCTAATTTGGTGTATATGCGCGAGTGAATGATAGTAAGAAGTACTTTAAGTACATGGCTTATTACACTAATTATTCTATGTCTTCACTTTATTAGGAAGTAAAATAACTATTGATAGTAGCCAGTCTTTTGGTAAGTAACCAGTCTCGTAGATGTTGTTGAATAGCTTCAGAAGAGCTGTGATTTGGTGTGCCTTTAATAGCTTTAATATTTCACAAGGTACCTCATCAGGTCCTGGTGAATTCCCATTTTTAATCCGCTTAATGCCCATAGTTACTTCTTAGTTTGTTATATCTGGGCCGTAGGAATTGTTTATTTCAGTCGGACTTCGTGCTCCATCTTCGAATAATTATTCTTTCATATATTCTTTTCATCTTACATACATTTTTCCGTTAGCCATGCTTCTTTTGTTCATTTTATCTTCTGTAGTATAGTCTTATGCAACTTTTTGTATTCGTTGTCATTTCTACCTTTTAATTTTCTTCGCTCTTCCATCATCTGCAATATTTTATCTCTCATCCATTCTTGCTTCTTTTCTCTTTTTGATTTTAGATATTCATGCGAAATGGTGGTAATAGATGTCTTCATTTTGTTCCACTGTTCTTCTATGCCTCTAGTAGTGTCTTTAACTATTTTCCCAAAATTCTTATTAATTTCTGTATTTCTTTTTTCTGAGTGTCATTCTCTTTTAGCGGTTTTATATCTATTTTGGTGTTTTCCATTTATAAAGTCTTCTTAGATGTAATTAAAAAGTGTATTCAGTACAGCCATATTCGTCTCTTGGCAGAATTGGATTAGTCTTTCTCCTCTTTCGTTTCTTATGCCAAGACCATATATGACCCCATGACATTCTCGACTGTACCTTGTCCTATTTGACAATAGAATCGCTAATGATAATGGTAAGTTTATATTTTTTGGTCAGTTTTAGAGAGTCTTCTAGAGTCTGATAGAAATTTTTTATTTCTTCTTCAGTAGATTCTGATGTCGGTGCGTAGACCTGAATGATGTTTGTATTAGAGGGACTTAAGTTAATTTTCAATAGCACAACTCTGTCTGATATGGGCGTAAATCCTATTACTGCTTTAGCTACTTACATTTTTATTATTATCGCTACGCCATTTCTGTATATTGCTGTGTCATCTCCAGAATAATAGACATGGTTTTCATCTATAATTCCTATTTCAGAATTTGGCCATCGAACTTCACTGCATCCTAAAATATCTATGTTCAGGCGAGTCATTTCTTGAATAGTATTTGCTGCTTTGCCTGCTTGGTACATGCTTTGAATGTTCCACGTACCGATTCTTTTTTACTTTTTTGACATTATTGGCTGACCGGCTGGATTGAGGGCCGTTTGCTTTGGATTTTCAGCCACTGTGGTGATACAAGAAGTATTCAACGATTAAATGTTGAAGACGACATTTTAGATGATGTGGAGAATAATCCAAATGTAAGTACACGAATAGTGGCTAAAATGGTTAAAATGTCGAAAAACGTTGTTCATAGAACATTTCGGGAAAAATTTCTACATCCATACCACCATCAGAGAGTTCAAGATTTCCACCAAGGTGATCTTCCTGGAGGATTAACATTTTGTAACATTTTGAAACATGTTTGACAAGAAACGGTATACTGTTCACATATGGGGTGACCAGATCGCTTATTTAATATGTCGAACAAATTTTCAATGAAAATTTAACATAAATTAACCATCGTTTTTTCAGAAGAAATTCTAATACACACCGTTTTCTGTACACCGAGCTAGGGATTGAACTCACTTCCTGTGAACCACTCGCAGTGAAGCGAGTGAGGAACCGGCCGCCCAGCCCGTTTGGCTATCTGACCGATAGGTCAGACAGGGTAAACAAATAAAATACATAAATAAGAAAGCGAAAGAACAATGGCTAAAAGAACAATGTGAAGAAATAGAAGTATACCAGAAAAGACATGATAGTTGTAACACACAAAAAAAAATTAAAGAATTAACTCACAACAATAGAACAAGAAAACAGGGAATATTGAAAAATGCAAATGGAAAACTTGTGTTGAATAACAACGACAAATTAAATAGATGGATAGAATCCATCAATGAACTGTTCAAAGACAATAGAACAGAACAGATAAAGTGAGAAGTAGAAGAGGATATGGTTTTAAATATATTAAAATAGGAAACTCAAAGGCATTGAAAAACAGCAAAAATGGTAAAACATTAGGTCCAGACGAAATCCCTATAGAAATCTTAAAATGCATGATGAAACGTTAGACATTATAGTAGACTTATTTAACTTAGTATACAAGACAGGACACATACCGAAACAATAGTTACTCTCCACCTTTTGTGCTATCCCTAAAAATACAAACGCTAAATATTGCAGTGAATACAGAACAATATCACTGATAAGTCACATTCTTAAATTATTCCTGAAAATAATACACAGTCGTATAAATAAAAAACTGGAAGAAGGAATAGATGATAGTTAGTTTGGGTTCAGAAACGTACTAGGAACCAGAGAAGTCCAAATTAGTCCAAATTCAAAAGACAAAAAACATAGACCATAGGGATTTACGAATAATAACAAACTCATACTGGAAACAAAGAGCTGGAATCGTAATAGATAACGAACCTAGTCCGGAAATTAAAATCAAGAAAGGAGTTAGGCAGGGATATATTAAGTCCCCATTAACATTTAATGTATATAGTGAAGCCATTTTTGAAGAAGCATTACTATCTCAAAGTGAAGGAATAATAATTAATGGAAGATCTATTAACAATATAAGCTATGCAGATGACACCGTGATTATGGCAAGCTCTGCTGAACAACTCCAATTACTGATAAACAAAGCAAACAGTTTCTGTGAAAAATATGGACTAAAAACGAATATAAAAAGACCAAATACATGGTAATAACAAAGAAAACATATATACCACCAAACATACATTTGGGAAATGTACCGATAAAAAGGGTTAATAAATACAAATACCTAGGAACCTGGATTTCAGACAATGATCAAACAACCGAAATAAGAGCTAGAATAGAAATAGCAAGAAATGCGTTTGTAAAAATGAAAACAATTCTCTGCGATAAAGATCTTAGATTAGAACTTAGAGTAAGAGCACTGAGATGCTACGTATTTTCGATACAGCAATATGGACTTAAAAGCTGGACATTTAGGCAAGGACACATAAATAAGTTACAGTTCTTTGAAATGTGGTGTTAAAGGAGCATGCTTAGAATAGCATGGACACAGAAGAAAACTAACAAGGAAGTATTACAAGAAATGGGCAAAAAATGCGAAATAATCAACACAATTTTTATTGTGTTGATTATTTCGCAGAAAGTTACAATATCTGGGACACGTATTGAAGGGACAGCGATATGAACTGCTAAGGCTGATAATACAGAAAAGATAAGAGAAGGAAGGAGTATAGGAAGAAGGGGTGTGTCATGGTTGAAGAATTTAAGGGACTGGTTTAAATTCAGTTGTATAGAACTCTTTATAGCAGCAGTAGATAAAGTAAAGATAGTTATGATAATATGCAACCTCCGATTGGAAGAATGCACTTAAAGAAGAAGAACAATCGCTTGATAGGACCATATGACTTGCCCAGAACACTAAATGGAGAGGCCTACTAATTTCTTGCAAAACATTTTGCCGGTACTTATTGAAGACGTGAGTTTGCAAATACGCCGTGGAATGTGGTTTCTTTGCGACGAAGCCCTATCACATTTTATCAGAGCTATTAATAATCTTCTTGATGCCACTTATCCTCGTTGTTGAATTGGTAGGAAGGGACTCATTCTGTGGCCACCACGAAGTCCAGGATGCAATGTACTGGAGTTTTATTTTTGCGGACATCTGAAATCATTAGTTTATGATAAACCGAGATAAAAATAAATCGAAACAGAAGCTGAATAACGGGAAGAAAGTTTTTATGGTGCAGAAACTATTCGACATAATTTAGTTAACTACGGCATCACTAACAATATAAACAAAATTTTATATTAAACTCACCATGCTTCCGTGTTGAACCGTGACAATTTTTACTGCGTCGAGCTTTCGACATCATCTCTGATGTCTTCTTCAGGGCATTCAGGAACACTGGACATTTCATTCATGTAACGTTTCGGCCTAACAATAACTTTGAGTTTTCCGAAAGAAAAAGTTTACTTGCTATCATTCCCCTAAAAAAATTATACATGTTTATAATAAACACTTTTATTTATAATGTATATCTAAAGATGATTTTATATTTTAGCCATGTGATTTTGAAAAAGATTGTAAATTTTCAAACATGAGCTGCAGATTTCTGGACACGATTAAAGACGAAACGATTGAATATTATGCAACTCTCGAAGATGGATTAAATGCTCTTCAGAAAGGAGACGCGTGGGGAGCAGTTCATATAAAAAAAGATTTTTCTGACGCAATTGTTGCATCTTTAGGCTTAACTTATGATCCATATTATATACAATATACGTATATAAACCAAATTAGAATTTGGGTACATCCTTTAAGTAAGTAAGCTTAGAGATTTTTTTAGACTAAGTACCCTGTATTTGGTACTATTTTTTGATTATGAATATATATTGTTATATTTTTTATCTTTTTTAGGGGAATCAACTAAAAAAGGTCTAAGTGAAAAAGAACTGCAGCAACGATTTACAAAAGTAATAGAAGAACTTTTTAAGACTTGTAGAAAAAAAGTCACTACAATGTATGACAAGCACTCAATTACTGCTTTTCAAGATTTTAGCAATATTACTAGCTATGTCCAATACGCACCTCTATTATAATAATCTTAAATTATTTTAATAAATATGTTGTCTCAAAAAACACATATTTTCATCATTTAAATTACAATTTTATAATTCTTGATATTATTCTTATCCCCGTGTACAGTTTGCTCTGGTATGTTATTATCGTTTGATGTCAATAACCAATTCAGATGCTCCAACTATTAGCTGTAATCTAGTGGTTAAACCTTGAAATCGATCTTACGTTTGTTTTGATAATGCTTTACAATCAGATTTATTTTACTCACTAAATTATGATCACTGCCTATATTAGCTGACGGTATAGTGGCTTCCCACGATCGGCGATTCTACAGATTATCGCGGACAGCCGATCAGCACGGACGACAACGCACCGCAGACAGAGCTCTTCCTATGGTCCGTGACAGTCTGTGTAGGTCCGTGACAGTATTGTTTGATTATATCATAAAAAGGCCACTTAGGCTTGTAAACATCATCAGCCCCACTTCCAGTTCCCATCGATTCTCCAACTTTTGTTTTTTGCCTTTTGTATGTCGGCATTAAATTATTTCTCTTCATTTTTAATTCTTTAATCAAAATAGTACTATTCTTCAATTGATTTTTTATTCGGTTCCATACATCGTATATATCGGTTCCGTTTCTTATGCCCTGGTGCCGTAGAATTCCATAAATTTGTTTCATTTTAATACAAATTTAAAAAATCAAAAATAACTTCGTTTGTTTAATCCATTTTTTAGCAAAAACTGCAAAACAACTTTGACAACACTACAGACAACTACTCGTGTCAGCGAATGAAAAACTTCTGACTTGCAGTTGTCTGTTAAAACACAGACGCGCTAGGATCGCGAGCACAAGCATATACCGCACCTTTGATGTTACCGACTCTAGATGGATAGGACGCACCAGCACGGACGTGCCTGTGCTACCACGGACGAGACCTTTCCCACGGTGCGTGGTGCGGGCTGGTCCGCTTACGTCCGCAATATCGCCGACCGTGGGAAGCCGCTCATCTAACACTTATTTATAGTGCGTCATTATATTTTTAAGCTTATATACCCAATATTAATTTTTTCATTGATTTCTGTATTTTTAAAATCACAAAGCATGTTGCTTTGTTGGATAAAAAACACTAGAAGTAGAAAGTGTTAAGTTTCGACACATGATTAACTACAACAAATCCAAAATCATAGGACCCTTAAGCTAGCAGGGACAAATGAGCGGAATTCAATTTAACCTACGTAATATATTTTTTCAGCAATTTATTAATTTATTACCACTCTACTATATTTTTACCACCAAACCACACTTATTGGGAGCGATTCTGCTGGCTGATGGTTCAAGCTAGGTAGCAAAATTAAAAAAAAAACTGTTTGCCAATGATTATTCACACATTTTTTACTATACTGTTAGTTAAAGGGTGAAAAATCACTAGGATTTTAATAAATTAGTAAAATAAATTTAGCACAAAACTGTAGTATCTCATATTGCCGAAAAGATCTGCTTTGTATTCAACTAGCGTAAATGTGTAGATGGTGAAATTGGTGAAATTGGTTAACATTCAATAAAAACTTACCAGAGCAGTTTCTTCGTATATTTATAAATAGAGTACAGTAAAATTATAACAAAAAATTTCTGTACCTTTAATTTAAAACCAGCAGAACTATTGACTTCCCACAAGGGTTAGTCAAGGGACAAAAACTTATTAGGGTGGTAATAAATTTGTAAATACCTTTATATATCATAAATATATTTGTTTAATTCCGCTGACTCGAAAGTTAAGCTACCGTGAACGTTTTCAAATAAGATTGGTTTAGGGGTGGAAAATTTTTAGGGTGGTCAAAGTTTAGAAAAAATTAACATAACACTTTTTATTTCACATATAAGTAGAAAATAGTAAAATTGTAAAAATGATTTTTTTACGTTACATGTAATCTAACAAAATTATTTAATTTCCAAAAGGGGTAATTGAGGGGTGAAAAATTACTTGGTTGGTAATAAATTCGTAAAAACCTAGCAAAACACTGTGTTATATTATAATTTTTTTTTAATACCACTGGCTCAAGTATTAAGCTAGCGGGAACGTTTCCAAATAGGGTTAGTTTAGGGGTGGATCATTATCAGTAGACTTCGGCAAATATGCAAATAAAAATATAGAAAATATGCGCATAAGTATGCACGTGTTTACCCGAAAATATGCAAATATTTTACAAAATATGCATACAAATAAATAAAAAAATCGTAAAATAGTAACAATTTTATTTAAAAAAAAGTGTACATAACTAAATATTTCCTACTATTCATTAGGATTTACATTTATTTGAAGTAACTACATCATTTTTAAGTATGAATAAACTTATTTAGAATTATGGTAACAATAAATGACCAAGTGGTGTTCAAAATTTTCTAACAAAAACTTGTGGCTTCTGTCTGAGTACATATATTTATATATGGAAAAACTTCGTTCAACATCAACTGATGTAACGGGAGCATTTTTCAAACTAACCAAAACACAATCATTGTTTCCGAAATATTTCCAGCTAGAAAACTGACTACTTCAGAAAGAATATGGTAACCTTTATTTTTTTCCATAGTAGCTTCAAATTTTTTTAAAATATCTTTTCCAATATTACCTCTAACGTTCCGACAACATGACGCAAATTCTTTTATTAATGCTGTACTTTCGAACAATGACAGTTTTGGTGATTCTAACTGAGTAATTGTTTTTTGAACAAAACTAAAATTTGATTTTATAAATGAAAGTTCTTGTTGAAGCAAGTTACTCTGAAAAGTTTGTTTAGAATCCAAAAGACATTGGGAACTTTCATCTGTTAACGTATCAATTATGTTCTTTATTTTAACAAAATGATTTGCATAAAAATTAGCTGCTTCTAACCATGTTCCCCATCGCGTTAAAATAGGTTGTGGTGGAAGAGGAATGTTAGGTAGCATTTCTTTATAAAGTTGAATTCTTATAGGAGATTTAAGAAATACTTTTTTGACACTGGATATCATGGTATTTACAAAAGGAACTTTTTTCGTATTTCCTATGCAACTCTGTTTAATCCATGCGCTACACAAGTAACATGTATTAAATCTGGGAAAAATATTTTTAAATTTTGTCCTGCTTTCACCATATAAATAGCAGCATCCGATAAAATAAGCAGTAATTTATTAGAAGGAATAGTTGTCGGAAGAAAAAAAGTTGCTAATGTTTCTTGTATAAAACGCGAAATTGTTAAAGCATTTGTTTTCTCACGTTGCTGGCATGAAATAAGATGAGATTTTGGTAAGGTATCTTCTTTAAGAACACCAATCAATAAATGAGCAATATACTTTCCTGAGGAATCAGTGGTTTCGTCTACAGATATGTAAAAATAATTATCTGCAATTTCTTCCTTAATATTAATTAACACCGACGAGTATAGCCCGTTCACATTATTTCTTCTTAGAGACCGATCACTTGGAACATTAATTTTGCAATATTTTTTTAGAAACGAACTAAAATTTACATTTGCTAATTTTGAAAGCGGTATGTTTGCAGACACTAATGCGCGACACAAGTCTTCATTAAAAGTTTCTTGCTCATCTAATTTTTTTGAAGTAGATTGGAAACATTTAGCCATTGAAGTTTGATGTTTTCCTCCTATTTTTCCTTTTTTTGCAATGTGTGAAGCAGTTCTCACATGTTGGTCTATCTGAAATATCTTCTCACATGCTATCTATAAATAAAAATAAAAACCTTTATTTTAACCCAACCTTTAAAATATAAAAATATACAAGGTATTTTTGGTTAATCAAATAACTGGTTTGGAAAAAAAAAACACTCGCTAAGTGTTTTAAATGCAGTATTAATCCACAAATTAGTTTTTGTTACTAACCATTAGTACATCATATAACTTATTTTAAAATTCAACAAAAGTTTTTTTTTTGTTAATTCAATTACAATAAAAATAACTGTGTCTTAGAATAGCTGACTTCATAAAAAAAAGTAAAGGTGAAAAATTTTTCTAAATACACACCATTGTATTGTACCATGGACAATTTTTTCTCACTAAAGGAAGCTATTTTTCATTTAAAAACAACCTACGAGTACTAAATTTCAAGTAAATACGTTTATTGGTTTTAAAGTTATTGTTGTTATTAACTAAAAGAATTTAATTTTTTTTAATTTTAACACTCTGTATCTCGAAAAGTAAATAAGTTTGACCCCTCATTAACTATATCGTTTTGTTCAATTTTTCGAGAAGTATTTACAGTCAAACGTTGTAAGTGTCATTTGGAAACACCCTGTATGTATGAAATATTAGATATTTAATAGAAAATATTATATACTTACAATTTTGCCACAGACTGAACAGTAGATTTTTCCCATATCCATAGACAGCTCATTAATAAGGTTTAATCCAAGTTGAAGCACTGGTTGTTTTAGGCATTATAAAATCACAATCTTCCTTTTTGTTATGCACAACGAGTTTTTACGCTTTGAATATCAAAACAAAAATGATTTACAAATCTGAGCATCAAATTAGAAATGTTTAGGTACCTAATTCAATAACCTGGGAGATTTTGGAAAATCCCTAAATTAGGAACAAAACTATTAGCCGTTTACCTGCTGTTAAGATACAATAAATTGTAGATAGATTTGGGGATTAGATCATAAAATGCAAATGAGCGAACCCTTAGCGATTATCCAATAACTGAATGCCTCAGTGACCGAGACTTTCTAAGAATGTTGAGGGCTACTTAAATTGATCTTTTTTGAAATTGTAAATGTTACCTGTAGAGATTACGTACTTAGATCATTTCTTGATTAAAATGACTACAAAATTTTATACAAGAATTGAAATAAATTGGTATGTTTAAAAATTTTCAAATACAGTATAAAATCTCAACGTTTATGCACTTTATGCAAACTTTTATACAAATATGCCAAAATATGAAATATTTGCATAAAATATGCACAATATGCAAAATATGCAATATGCATATTTGCCGAAGTCTAATTATCAGGATGATCAAAGTTTTGTAAACACTTAATAGAAATAGAACAGTTTTATATTT